CCCACTAACCCCCCACTTCTTTCCCCCACAACACAGTAGCGGCGGCACCTAAAATCAACCGGGCATTTTACCGGTCAAATAGCCGTAATAAATCCTCTTCCGATGTTAGACGGAGAATTTATGGAGAATGAAGAAATGAATACCGTATCTATAATGGTCCTCTCTCTGTCTCTCTGTCTCTGTCTCTCTCTGTCTCTCTCTCTCTCTCTCTCTCTCTCTCTCTCTCTCTCTCTCTCTCTCTCTCTCTCTCTGTGTGTCTGTAAGCGTCACCGACAAACACTTAAGTAATAATCCACAGCTTCATATGTTTTTTTGTTTCAGGTATAAACTAAATTCAACTATTATTATTTCACGCCGGAAGTTGGTGAGCAATAAGTGTAAAGACTGGAATTATGTCTCACTCATGGCTGAATTTATGTCTCATGGAGGAATTTATGTCTCATGGAGGAATTTATGTCTCATGGAGGAATTTATGTCTCATGGAGGAATTTATGTCTCATGGAGGAATTTATGTCTCATGGAGGAATTTATGTCTTATGGAGGAATTTATGTCTCATGGAGGAATTTATGTCTTATGGAGGAATTTATGTCTCATGGTGGAATTTATATCTTATGGGTAAATTTGTCTCATGAATAGATTTTTGGTGGTAGTAATATGACTAAAGTAACGACAGCAACAACAACAACAATACTACTACTACTACTACTACTACTACTAATAATAATAATAATAATAATAATAATAATAATAATAATAATAATATTAATAATAATAATCAACAATTGCAAAAAAATAATAATAATAACACTAACAATAATAATGTTGATAATAATAATAATAATAATAATAACAATAGTAATAATAATAAGCAGTTTTTCTTATACGATGCCGCTGAGCGATACGTCAACATTATGCAAATTCTCATTACTTTTTACGACACAACGTTGGGCTGGGAGTGACAGTCGCCCACCACCACCCAAGGCCGCCCACCACCACTTATGGCCAACCACCACCTCCACTTTACCCATGGCCAACAACCACTTCTAGTCATGGCCACCCAACACCACCACCCATGGCCACCCACTATGACTAATACACTACAGTATGTCTTATGGATTAATATGTCTCAGGTACTCAATATGGCTCATGGCTCACACACACACACACACACACACACACACACCTCTGACAGCCCAGTTTTGTTATTGACAGTCGATGCTGCTGGTCAGGATACCCTCATTCACAAATACTCACTGTGACGTCATCATTCACATAACACTCACTGTGACGCCATCAATCACATAACACTCACTGTGACGCCATCATTCACATAATTTGTCGACTACACCATCGTTCTTAACAGCTGATTGACGACTCGTTCTCAATAATGTGAATGATCTCAAGCCTATTATAAGATCTACGGCTTCTTTCATTCATGGGGTTTGACTTATAAGACCTCCCAAGTAAACAAACCCTCCTACGAGATTATAAACACACACATAGGTTTGTGTTCATTCATTATTTAGTTTATTTATATATATATTTTATGATCAACAAACACGGATGAGAGGGACGATTGTAAATTTGTGTTGTTAATGTTTTATTTGTAAACATACGTCGCCTGTCTGTCTGTCTGTCGTGTCCACCCCTTCCTCTATGACGCACCTTGTCTGTATCTCACCCAAATGCGACACAGAGGTCTACCATCCCCCCCTCTCCTCCCTCCTTATCCCCCCTCCATCTTCTCTATCCCCCTCCTCCCTCCTTATCCCCCCTCCACCCTTCTTATCCCCACCTCCACCCTCCTTATCCCCCCTCCATCCCCCTCCATCTCATCCCCCTCCTCCTCCCCCTCTCTATCCCCCCCCTCCATCCCCTCCTCTCTATCCCCCTCCTCCTCCTTATCCCCCTCCTCCTCCTTATCCCCCCTCCACCCCTCTCTATCCCCTCCTCCCTCCTTATCCCCCTCCACCCCTCTCTCCTATCCCCCCTCCTCCCTCCTCCTCCCCCCCTCCATCCTCTCTCTATCCCCCCCCCCCTCCATCTCCTCTATCCCCCTCCTCCCTCCTTATCCCCCCTCCACCCTCCACCCTCCCTCTCTCCTTCACATTGAGTGTGTTGAGACCATATACTGTGTTATTGTGACTTAGGAGACCTTAGTAAGTTCTCCCCCTGTTCTTCAAGCGGTATAATTAAAAATGAATTGAAAACGAAAAAAAAAATATTTACTCTGATATTTGTTGTTCACTAGAAAAAAATTAAATGTTTAGTTAATTTTTAAAATGAGAAATGAAAACGAACACCAACATTTACACAACACTAGTCATTGTGTAATTACCCGTCTGACCTTTGACCTAATAAAAACAAATGAAATAATTTACAGAATTTATGTCTCGTATGACTGTCTGTCTATAATATTGACTACACTGTTTTTAGCATTAACCATCTCCGGACAATAACCAATATAGATACGAGTCAATAACTATATCAGGTCAAGAGATGAATGTGATATAGAAATAGTCATAAGAATCTTGTTTCATCAACTTAAACCTTTGACCTCGTTATGTAAGTCACGGGGTCACTAAAGAGGAAGTCACGTGGTCATTTGAAGGGCAATGAGAACACTCACACACATACATACATATACACACACATATACACACACACACACACACACACACACACAC